AGTCAACGATTGGCTATGATGCCTTGTTTCTCACGTCTTGCATGCACCAGCAAGCTATCTACAGCACCCATGGAGAAACAGGCTACTCCATCAGAAGGCAGCTCCTTGAGTTCTGAGGAAGAGAGTTCAATGGCCTCAGAAGCCTTACCAGCAAAAGGCCAGCCTGCTGACATTTGGAGGATGCTAGGGACCAGGTACCTGCTCAGCCCTAGGCAGGTGAGGACTCTGTGGTGTTGACAATGGGGGACCTCATCCACATGTACAGGAAGGAACAAGAGGAGCAGACAGGTATATGGGAAACAATAGCCCTCATTAACAAAAGTTGCAGGAGGGCAGCTACGCAGCGGGAACCCAGCTGCCTCAAACATGCCAGGTTGCCTCAACAGTCGGGATGATAGCTGCCATGGAGAGTCAGGTACAGCACCCTCAGGGTCTGCTGGGTATATGCAATGCCTGCATTCTATCACACCAGTCACTGATCCTTAGGACCAAAAGGCATGTGACAGGGGAACGGGGAACCTGGCATTCACTCCAGGTGCCCATTCTTCAAAAGGTCATAGGCAGGAGGAACCATCGTAAGTCTCATCTCTAGAGGTGGCTGGCCCAATCATCCCCACCCTGCCTGTCCCCACTCTCTGAATCTTGGAAGTTCAAATTGTAGACCAAATCTCCAAGGCCAATGGGCTCCGTTACTGAGAAGCTTCCCTCTACCCCAGCTGTTGTAACCGGGTCAACATTGACAACGCAGTGGGAAGGAAGGTAAAAAATAAACTTTTGAGGGCATTTTGGTGACAATGTAGTGAATATAAACTATCATGGTTGCATAATTGTTAATGGGGTTGCAACGTTGTCTCTCTCTGTTGCTCCGAATCGAATTCTGCAGCATGATGCCTGACTTGGTGTCCATACACGATGCATTATGGAACGATGACTATAACGAGAGCCCGTTAAGCAAGTAGAATCAAGATGAACAAGGCTGATATAGGGCTATGGGTACTGCCCTTTGGTCAACCATCTCTATCTCATTAGGATCATCATGAATTAGGCAGCCTGAAGTCCATGGGTCTATGTGTAATGTTCTTGCACTCTAAAGGGACTTACAGACCTTGCCCTCGCAGGTCAACACACTTAACTTATCCACTCTGGGTGTGGTTACAGCCCATTTTCTTCCCAGTGCATAGTTTCAATTTCCAGCACAATGGAAGATGACAGTGAACATTCTTTGAGCAAAGGTTTTGAGTCTCCACCTCTACACATTGCTGAGGCCCTGAACGTTAGGATCCCCTTACTAGTAGCCATTCCAATGAAACCCACAGGCTTTGCACCTCCCCATGTCCCTAACTGTCCATCTATATGAGCCCATCTTCCCACTTCAAACCTTGACAAAGAGGTGGCTGTACCAGCTATGGTCCCTGAAGTCAGAGTGCTCCTGAATGTGAATGAACACTTGGAACATTTCTGAAGTGTATCTGTCACATAAGCTGCTGGCAAATGGGGCAGGTGTGACATTGACATGTCACTATGCTGTACAGCAAAATGTGTGCCCCCTTGAATGAGATTCCTGACCAGCAAGGCAAGCTGCTTAGTTGTGTGACTGTACTAATTGGCATGGCAAGGCAGGCAAGGAAAAGCAGGGTTACTGAGAGTATCCAAGTGGACACTAAGTGAGGGAGCATAGAGTCATAAAGTCATACAGCATGGAAACAAACCCTTTGGTCTAACCAGTTCATGTCGAACATAAGTCCAAACTAAACTAGTCCCACTTGCCTGCGATTGGCCCATATCCCTCCAAACATTTCTTATTCATGTACTTATCTAAATGACTTTTAAACGTTGTAACGATGTAGCCTGGTCCAATGTATGAAGTGGGTACCCATCCCTGGGTACAAAGTGCCCTGTAGCAGCCTCTCAATCATAGTTGCCAGGGTATCCTACAACATACGTCTCAACTTCCTAAGCATCTGCAAGTGGATCAGAGAGGTGCCTGAGGATCCTGAAGAGTTGGCAAATATTGGATGGTGATGTCCATGGACATATTGTGTGGTGAATAACATGGAGATTCTTCACAGCCAGCAGTCAGCTGAAGTTGCCAGAAAGCCATTCTGACTTTCCATGGTGAGAATTCCTGGCATCTTATTTGCCTACCATGGGTGGTAAGATAGAAATCTGCACATTAATTAGGTGAGATGTGCTGTTAATAAGGTCATTAACAAGTAATAATCCCCATTAATAGGCAACATGTCACTGTGGAGTGAAAATCTCGCCTTGACATTCAGAACGGAGTTAAAAAATGCAACAAGTTGCTCCCAATTTCACAGGACTTCTCGTGTGATTGTGTCACCTTTCTTGCCATAACCCACATCATTCAGGACCCTATAAGATTCCACCCTTTATTTCTTTCTCTACTGATATTGGTTGTCCTGCTCAGTATTAACAGATTTTTCTGTTTTTGTTTTGGATTTTCAGCAGCTGTAGTACTTTGTTCCTGTAGCCACCGGAACCCACATTTTAATTCAAAATAAGACACATGCTAACCTGCTACAGATACCTTCCATGTCCCATACCTGCGGGCTTAAAATGCTAGCAACATATACACGAGTGACAAAGTGATTGGCAGCCACTTGTAGGATGTGCAATGTTAAAAATCAAGCCGTGTTAGCTGAAAATTCTGTGGGGAGGGGTTCTCAATATTCATCATTGGAGGAGCTCTTAAACTTGCCAATCAATCTAAAGGCTGCCTTTCTTTTCATTCTATTTTGGTTAAATAATTTTTCCAAATGTATATTATTCAAGATATTTCAGGGTAATCAAAACTAGGAGGGGCAGCACAGTGGCTTAGTGGTTAGCACTACTGTCTCATTGTGCCAGAGTCCCAGGTTCGATTCCACCTTTGGGTACTGTTTGTGTGGAGTTTGCATGTCCTCCCTATGTCTGTGTGGGTTTCGTCCGGGTGCTCCGGTTTCCTCCCATAGTCCAAAGATGTGGCGGTTAGGTGGATTGGCCATGCTAATTTGCCCTGTAGTGTCCAGGGATGTGCAGGCTAGGTTGATTAGTATTGGTAAATGTGGAGATACAGTAGGGTTTGAGTGTGATATTCTTTGGAGGGTCAGTGTGGACTCAATAGGCTTGAATGACCTCCTTTCGCACTGTAGGGATATTATGAGATAATCTGATTTCTAACACCAGCATTTTTTTGAATAGCTTGCAAAATGTGTGATGGCTTATCATGTTGTACAGTGGTTAATAATTCTACAGAGCTAAATGAAAAAAGCAGTGCTCACCACTGTGACAAGATCATAATCTTGGCCCCTCAGGTTTCTCACAGCAATCAATACATTTTGATGAAAAAGAAAGCCCACAATAAAAAAAATTGTATATGATTCTAGACTGACCAGCTGAACTTAACAGCGTTTGCTCATTTCAGAATCATTTAGTTCACAATATAGCAAGGCTTGAGCACATATAACATTAGTCAGTCTCTAAACTATGCTATGTCCAACAGATGAGTTTAATAATTGATTCACCAACCAAAGTGGTGAAAATATTGTATTCCTCAGGACTGGTATCTTACATTGATTTTTGCAAAGTGCGTTTAAAAAAAAACTGTAGTCTCAAATTTCTATTTTGCATTGTCAGTTTTCCACCTACTCATTCATGCTCTTTGTGCTAATTACAATTTTGTAACAAATATGGCACTGAGCCATCCAACTGCAGGGATACAGACTGACTGCCTAACCTAGAAACAGGATGCAGGAAAGTGTCAAAGGGGCCAGATGGCACAAAAGTGATTAGAGGTCGTAAAGGGTGTTACAAAATATTGAGATGCTAGAAAGCAGAACTAGAAAAGAGAGGAAAGGCTAGAAGATGTAGGGAAAGCCAATGCGAATAAGTGGAAACAAGGTGAAAGTCTGATGAGAGGACGGATGATTCAGAGAATAAGGAAGAACCTGGAATGGCTGAGGGGCTAGAGGAACTTATTAGTTTTCTCTTCTCGGTTAAAAATTCTCCAGCGATAAAGCGAAGTTCAGGAACATGTATAATTCTAAACTCAAGTACAATCATTTGCTTCAATTTTCTCCCTTCTCTAGTGTTTTATCCCATGTCCAAGCTCACTCTTGGAATCTTGCTAACCTTAACAGGGGCTTCAAGAATCAATATGGTATACTGGCCTCTAATTAACAGTTAAATAAAAACCAAAAGAACTGCGGCTGCTGTAAATCAGAAAAAACAGAAGTTGCTGGAAAAACTCAGCAGGTCTGGCAGCATCTGCAAAGAAAAACAAAAAAATCAGAGTTAACGTTTCGGGTCCAGTGACTCTTCCTCAGAACTGATGGTAGCTGGGAAAACGTTAGTTTATATGCTGAAAATTAATCATCACATAGCCTGCCATTACACACTACCTATTATTAGTCACTAACAGTCTCCATTAACAACTATTCACCCTCCCAGCCAGATCATTATCAACTCTTCTGTCTATCCAACTGCTCTTCTCTCTCTTCGGGCTCTATCCTATCGTTTACTCCCTACCCCAGCCCCTTCCCTATTTTCTGCATATAAAGCAACACTTCCTCAGCTACCATCAGTTCTGAGGAAGGGTCACTAGACCCAAAATACTTACTGATTTTTTCTTCACAGATGTTGCCAGACCTCCTGAGGTTTTCCAGCAGCCTCTAATTAACAGTTATCTGTCATCAGTGATCCATCAAATTGGAAAAAAGTGAAAGTGAAGACAGCGATTATGTCCTTTCCAGTTTCATGCAAATTGAACTTTGCCAGTGATTCAGCATTAAATCGTCTTGCTCAAACATTAAATGTGTTATACATTTCTTTCTCAATATTTTCCATCACAAAATTATTACTGAAAACAAATGCAGCCAAGACTCAAAGCAACAATCTCAGAATTACTGTTCCATCCAACTCACCATGTAAATATAAAGTAAAGCTGAGGGGTTTAAAAAAAAAAACAGGTCCCATATAATCTTATTAAACAGTAACAGTACCTGACCATTCTTCAGACCAACTAATAGGCCTTCTCTTCCTGATGGTCCTCCGATGACTTTAATATAGCGAATAAGTGACTCCATGAGCCATTCTCTCTCCTTCACACCACTAAATGACAAGCACTGCAATCTCTTTTCCTAAATGGGACATAAAGAAGGCATTAATAAAGTTGCAAGTGGCTGACTAAAAATGTCATTAATTGAAAAGGATCCAATAGAATTTAACTGCGCAAGCCTCAAAGTCTGGATCAAACACAGTCAAAGCAGAACATAACACTAAATAGGAGTCTTAACTTGGGCAAACTTCTTTCCTGGTCCTAGTGGAACCTAGACACAACAGCTCAAACTTCAAATGCCAAATGGTTTAGTTGATACCCAAAACTCTACAAAAGGATTTATTTTCAGTTTCTACACTGCTCACAAAATTCTTTGTAAATTTGGACTTTGGGATCAATTCTACTCTAAAAATGCTGCCCTCACAGTACGTTTATCTCAGAGAGAGAGCCAACTAGAAGATTTAACCTTTCCTCTCAGCTCAGGAATGTGGTGCAGTAAGTGAAAGATCTAAAGAACTAAAGCAGATCCACCTTAAAAATGGGGAAAGAGGAGAAATATAAAGTATCTCTTTTGAACTGTAATAAGCAAATTAAAAATGAACTCTCTCCTCAAATTGAAAGTCACAAAGTTTACTTCAATTGCTAATTCCATTTTCAAAATGTGGGGATACATAAAACCTTTTCCATTTTCTCTGTCCTGACCTTTACTAGGGCATGACTCCAGGGTCTAATGTTGCCCCTTCCACCTTGCCATTAAGAGACACTTCATATGACAGCACGGACAATGAGTCTCTTATTTCACCAAATCTCTTCAGCTCAATTTTGGCTGCCTTTTAAAAAATCACTCCAAATGTGGAATTCAATGTGTCACTTTATGCTTCCCAGCTGTGAAACAGATCTGAGAGGTTTTCAGACATGGTAATGTAATTCGGTGTCTAGTAATTGACCCTGTTTAGCTATTAGCCTTCAAGGGCACAGTGCGAACATATTTTCATACCTAGTCTAGAGCTATTGACTGACATTTCAACTAGAGAAACAATTTGTAACAACTTTCAGATTTGATCTTATCATTTGGGAATACAGTGAATATGAAATTACTTCATGTTCCCATATGTTCTGTCAATTATAATTTCTAAATTTTCAGCATTCTAAATTTAATTTTTAAAATGCTTGTCCTGTAAAGACAAAGACCTGTAAATGCATTCTGTGTAGACAGGCACTAAACAGGATTCATCCTGACCCCTTTCTGGGTTAGCTGATTTTAAGCTGTGGCAACAGTTCAGCCCCTATAATTAACCACCACACTTCTAATCGGAGCAATTGGTTAGGACAGGGGTGATGGAAATCAGGTTGGGTGTTCCTTACTGATTGCTTTCAGACACCCTGCCTGGAAACTGAAATGTGTTGGCGTTTGGTAACGACAGGGCTGATTTCTGATGCTTGCCCAAGGTGATAGCTTGTTAGCATTCATTTTTTCAGACTCACTTGATGACATGTGCCAGGGTCACAAGCATTAATGTCATTGCTAGCAGAAAGCTAGCAGAAAACAGAAAGCAAACAGGCTTACAAACAGAAAATATATCAGTTCCAGAGCAATCCAAACGTAAGCACAATAAAAAAAAATTTTAATTTTGCAATTTCTATTTGTATATCTGGGTCTGGCTAAGGAGTTTCAATGCAGATATATTTGTTATTATTATATTATTTTAGCAATAAGAAAACAGATTACATCATAAACATGTGAAGAAAAAGAGCTTGGTATTTTAAAACTAAAGGACAAGTGTATGAGGTTATTAAGAAGCAGATTGCACAGCATGTGTACTGTATCTGGGTGGTGTAAACACAATGTGCCACAGAGTGGTATGACAGAAGTTTTCCACCTGCAGTTCCTCACACAGTGATGTCTTGATTTTGGTTGTTTTGGCTGGCAGGCTGAGGATACTCAGAAAGCTTAGGTGCACCCAGTATGTGACTCAAGTAGAATGGAAGGAGTCTGCCTGCCTGTCCCTGGAGTGAATTAAATCTATTATAATAAAACCACTTTCCTTTCCAATCAATCAATCAGCAAGCTTGCATATATGGCCTTCCTTATACAGCATATTCCAAAGTAAGCGAGTTACTGTGTAGTCTCTGTTTTGGCAAAAGTAGCTGCCAGTCGACCCGCAGCAGCAGTGGCTGAGGCATTAGCAGTGGTCACTTAAATTTATAGTTATTTCTAATCAATCTGTTCACATGTGTTATGAGACACCTCCACAGCAGATGGAACTTGAACCACTTAAGAGTCTTACAGTGAAACAGCACAGAAACAGACACTTCAGTCCAACTCATCCATGCTGACCAGTATCCTAAACTGATCTAGTCCCATTTGCCAGCATTTGGCCCAGATCACTCTGAACCCTTCTTATTCATGTACCCATCCAGATGCCTTTTAAATGTTGTAATTGTGCCCTTCTCCTCCTCTGGCAGCACATTCCTACCTGCACCACCTGCTGCGTGAAAACATTGCCCTTTAGGGCCCTTTTAAATGTTTCCCCTCTCATAGAATCCCTAGTGTGAAAGCTGGCCATTCTACCTATCGAGTCCACACCAACACTCTGAAAAGCATCCCACCCAGACTCATCCCCCTGCCGTATAACCCTGCATTTCCCATGCCGAATCCACCTAGCCTGCACATCCCTGAACACTATGGGCATACTTGGACTATGGGAGAAAACTGGAGCACCCAGAGGAACCCAGCTGGAAGTAAATCCGACACTACGAAGCAGCAGTGCTAACCACGGAGCCATTGTACCACCCGGCACATGGTCACAATTAGACTAGTTTTTTATTCCAAAGTTTCACTGCATGGAGGGGTTCGAAGCTATGTCCTCAGAAGATTAGCCCAGGGTTCTGAATTACTAATCCAGTGACATTACCACTATGCCACCACCCCCCTGAAAGTTACAGTCGATGATTCTGCTGTTGTCATTCACACTACCTCTAGATCTATATTTTGTTTCAACTAATTCATTACCACTTCTTATTGCCTTGCATGATCATCCGTTTTGACATATAATCATTCCTGCCTACTGGCCTTTAACAGAGCTTCCCTTTTGTTCTTCCCTGCCCTCCCGACTTTCATGCCTCTGCACTTGAGAGAACCTAAATCTCCCATCTTTGCCTTGCCTGCTGAAAGGTCCACAACCTGAAATGGTAAACTGTTTCTCACGCCAAAGAAGGGGAGTAATTTCAGCATTTTCTGTTCTTACTTCAAAGTTCCACCATCCACAGTACTGAACTTTAACCAAAGTTCAAGATTTCTACTTGACAATGTCAGACAGTTTGAAACAATGCCTGAAAGTTCTTTATTATTTAAAGTTTTTACAGAAAGACATTCTTTAGAAACCTAGCCAAGTTGAATGTCTCCCTTAAAGAAAAAAAAACTATATACCATACATTATACTATAATAAAACTACACAGTCTGAAATTTTCATTAGTCAGCATACCAGGCACAAGATAAGATGCTGTGAGCATACAACTAAAAGGTTGCATTCAAATTTTTTGGTAATCTTTTCCTTTACTCGGTAATGCATGTCAGTATTATCTTCTGAAAAGAGCTCATAGATCAGGATTTTTTCCGGCAGCTGGATTGCTAGTCGGTTCTTATATATAGCAATCTTCTTCACAAGTTCCCGGCATCTGATCCGCACTAGCAAACAGGAAAAAGTACATGTTAAGTGCAGTGACAGTGCATTATCAAATAGCATGTACTTGAACTGATTACATTAACTTCTAAATATATCACCAACTGTAACAGCATGGGAAACTGCAGTATCCCAGTTATAATTACTGACACCTTTGTTTAAGAACTCACCTTTCTGTTCTGTGATGAGATGCTGTACAATGACATCGGTCATGCTGTCCCTATAGGCATAGCGGTCCTTGTATAGTCCATGCACCGTGCTAAAAATTATTTGGTAAAAGGCAATTGTACCATCTTGACAACCTACAACCTTGGAAGAAGAATATAGAACCATTTGCACTTGCTCATTATTCACAGAGTATTAATGCAAAGAAACAAGGTGATATGTAACCCGCTTCAGTAATAGTTGAACCACAATCCAATGGCAGAATAGATCTAAGAGAGTGAATGACCTGTTCCTGTTTCTTTGAAATACAAACAATTGAAATTTCATTTTGATACACCTAGAATTATGTCAGCAGTTAATTTTTAATCATTACTGTGGCTTTACACTCATTGGAACAGTACTGAAAACAGATGAAAGGTGCCACCAAGTGGTTCAACATGTGAGTGCATTCACTTCACAAGCTGAACAAAAAAAAACTGAAAAGTCATTCAACTCTGCCTGTTATCACAGTTCTGTCTAAATATGTATTCAACATAAATAAGTGCACAAATTGAAACTTTGATAATTATTACATTTGGATTAGTGACAAGTCTATTTTCCACAACCAAATACAATGAGTCAGAAATTCAAGCATGGTCCTATTTGACAGGTGCTGAGCAGTAGGCCCGAGGCTCATGGTGCTCTTGATTTTGGGCTTCAGGCCTCATTTTTACTGAGCTATGGACAGTCAGAAGATTATTCAGCAAAATATGTTCAAAGATCAGTTCACTATTGTAGTGATTGTAATGAGGTCAGCCAGGTGGACTTCATGAAATATGAGTTCCCTGATTGGACCAGGTTAATAGCCCCAATCAGGGAGCCCTGACTGACAGATATAAACAGGAGTGGCAAAGGTTCTGTTCATTCTGAAAAGCTGACTCTGAAGAAGTGAAGAAACAGCTGCTATCCAAGGTGTTGGCACACTATGATCCCAAGCGAGATCCAGTATTGACATGCGATGCCTCCCCATATAGCATCAGGGTAGTATTAGCTCATAGGTGGCCCAACGAAGAAAGCGACCAACAGGACTTTGGCTAATGTGAAGTGTAAACATAGAACAGTACAGCACAGTACAGGCCCTTTGGCCCACGACGTTGTGCCGACCTACTATCCAACTCTAAGATCAACTAACCTGCTTACCCTTCATTTTACCAATAGAACATAGAACAGAACAGCACAAATATGCCTGGATATAGGAGGAAGTCTTGGCGGTCATATTTGAAGTCAGGAAGTTCCACCAGTACCTTTGCGGACATAAATTTGTAATATTAACAGACCACAAACCCCTGCTAGGTCTACTTAAGAGGACAAAACAGTGCTGTCCATAGTTTCAGATTAATATCAGAGCCCACTGCTGAATTCAAAGTGCATATAATCACAAGTTGGAATAACATCCCAGAAGCCAAGTGGCGAATGCAGATGCTTTGAGCCGCCTCCCACTGGCGGATAAACCATCAATGGTGCTGCCACTGGAAGAGTCCATAATGGTTTTAAATTTTCTGGACACACTTCCAGTCATAGCTGACAATATCAGACTTTGGATGCAGAAAGAATCAGTCCTAGCAAAACTGAAACAGCAGGTGGTGATGGGGAAACCAAAGGGCCATCATAACCAGAAATGAAACCTTCTTGGACTCGGAAAGGCCAGATCACAGTAGAGGGTGGCATATTACGGGGAGCAAGAATGATTGTCCTAAGCAAAAATTGCCACCAGACACTGGCTGAACTCCACCGGGGTTTCCAAAATGAAGATGTTGGCGAGATGTATACCTGGTGGCCAGGATTGGATGCAGACACAGCCGCATTGGTGGGGCAATGCCCAGAGTGCCGACAAGTACAAAAATTAATGCCAGCAACTGCCCCACATTCATGGGAATGCGACTACAGGCATAATTCCAGCAGAGTTACTAATGGGGCGAAAACTCAGCACCAGGTTAAATCTGATCTTCCTGGACGTGGGATGGGGATGGTGAAACGGCATCAGGAATGCCAATGCTCGACACCAGAGTCCTCTAAGACAGAGAGACAGTTTATTCCAGGGGACAGAATTTGGTGCTGAAACCACGGAATTGGCCCTGCATGGATAAGAAGCATGGTCAACACGAGGTCTGGTCCTGTGATATACAAAGTTCGAGTAAGTGAGGTGGTCCTGAACAAGCACATGAAAGCTGCAAACTTGGAAACTGGGCAGGACCAAAACATACCCAGAAACTCAGAACAGCCAGAAAGGGTATCAGAACCCACTGGTTCTCCCCTTACATTGGAGATGGGCATAGTGGATGTCGCAGCCTCGACGCCTTTTACCACCCGAAGAAGAGGATGAATTTCTTCCGAGACAGTCCAGGCACGAGAGACAGGCTACGGTCTGGTACACATCAGCCGTATCCAAGGCTGAGTCAGAGGAACCAGACTCAATGTGAAAACGCCCCAGGAGAGGCTACAATAAAAAGAACAGGCCTAAGTCCCCAGACTTGGAAAGCGGGGGGGGGGGGGAAAAAAGAGATGGAGTGATTGTAACAAGGTCAGGCAGGTTGATCTCATAGAATAGGAGTTTCTTTACTGAGGTTATTAGCCTGGTCCAATCAGGGACCCTGACTGACAGATAAAGACAGGAGTGCCAGAGATGGTGTTCATCCTGACAGCTGGCTCTGAGAAAGCTGGACTAATGTCAAGTACTGTGCAAGTGGAAATAAATGGTAATTTAGTGACAGGATACGCCTCTGTGGTGTTATTTCAGCTATAACGTTGGATAAATGTGAAAATGCAGCAATTAGGCTGGGGGGCGCGGAGTGAGGGGGGACTGCTGCTGTCATCGGTGAGAAGGTGACAGTGGCTGAAGATGGAGGTAAACAATGATGATCAGCAATAGCCCACATTCTTTTAATGTGGGGTCAAGGAGCAGCAATACCGTTACCACGTTCGAAATAAACATGATTGTAAAACCTGCCTCACTCATTCCCACCTTCCACAATTCTTTTAAAGACCAAATATTAGGCTCCATATAGCCTCATTTTCTTGTACATAGCTGACACCACCTGCTTGTGGAAAGCCATTCTCGCAGCCAAGGCCTCAAATTAGGTGTTAGGCTTCTGACTTGGAAATGCAAAGAGACAAAACTTGTTCCAGATGTGGCCCATGCAAGTGGAAAATCATGGATTATCAACTCACAATGAGTAATGTCTTCCTGACCTCCATATTAGAGGTTTTTCAAGGCCACTGAGACAATGTAAAATTGGTGTTGCTCAGCCCAGTTTCCAAGCCCTAGGCAACTGGATGAACTTGAAAATAAAAACAATGGTTTCAATGAATAAGGTGGTTAAAGCAAAGATTTTGGCTATAGTCTTCAATCCATGACTCACCCAGAATATACTACCATATAGAGAAATTGACGATGTCAAGAATGTTGCTGGACAAATCAAACTAAATATTTAGCACTGTTATTATGACAGAATATTGACAGGATTGGAGGTTTATAAATGATGCTTAAAGATTATATTTAGCAAAGGTGAACTGATAAAAATCTTACAACATAATTGGAGTCTGGCTTCACTCTGCAGGTCCACACCCAGGATTGCTGTTCCCCAATGCTACCGAGACGAACTCCATCCTTTGTGTACAAAGAAACCTGTTTATCGGAGCCTCCCATCACAATATACTCTCCTTTTGAGAAGTAACTGACACAACAGGGGTCAAAGTTCAGTGCCCTGTCTTTTCCAATCTAGAATGGAGATACAATTTGAATTTATCAAAAATGCCATTAATTCCACTAGGTTCAGCTTTTCAATTGTAAAGAACTTAAATAAACAGGGGAACAATATTTCAAGTGTAAGTAATCAGTCCAACCATGATAAGAATTTCGAATAACTGAAGTTTTGTAAATTTAAAATAAAATACCCCAACAGTCCATGGCCACTGATGAAAATTACCTTTATCAGAACCAGTTTGCAAAAGTTAGGAAGTACAAGTTAAAGTTCTGCGTTGCAATAACCTTGCAATGATCCTATCCATTATATTAGCAAAAAGTTACTTGAATATTGCCAACAGGAAAGACATGTTGCCAAAAGGTATTCTTCAGAACAAATATGAGCTTTTCAAATGTTAAAGCACCAACATCAAACTATTGCAGAGACAAAGGGTGGTTTTTGTAGTGATAGTTTAAAATTGGTTATTCTTATGTTTTTCCTGATGAATGTACAACGAAAAGATGATCTGTTTTGGGGCCACTGCTGTTTGTCATTTTTATAAATGACCTGGATGAGGGCGTAAAAGGATGGGTGAGTAAATTTGCGGATGACACCAAAGTTGGTGGAGTTGTGGATAGTGCAGAAGGATGTTGCAGGTTACAGAGGGACATAGATAAGCTGCAGAGCTGGGCTGAGAGGTGGCAAATGGAGTTTAATGCGGAAAAGTGTGAGGTGATTCACTTTGGAAGGAATAACAGGAATACAGAGTACTGGGCTAATGGTAAGATTCTCGGTAGTGTGGATGAGCAGAAAGATCTCGGTGTCCATGTGCATAGATCACTGAAAGTTGCCACCCAGGTTGATAGCGTTGTTAAGAAAGCGTACGGTATGTTAGGTTTTATTGGTAGAGGGATTGAGTTTCGGAGACATGAGGTCATGTTGCAGCTGTACAAAACTCTGGTGCGGCCGCACTTGGAGTATTGCGTACAGTTCTGGTCACCGCATTATAGGAAGGATGTGGAAGCATTGGAAAGGGTGCAGAGGAGATTTACCAGGATGTTGCCTGGTATGGAGGGAAGGTCTTATGAGGAAAGGCTGAGGGTCTTGAGGCTGTTTTCGTTAGAGAGAAGAAGGTTAAGAGGTGACTTGATAGAGACATACAAGATGATCAGAGGATTAGATAGGGTGGACAGTGGGAGCCTTTTTCCTCGGATGGCGATGGCTAGCACGAGGGGACATAGCTTTAAATTGAGGGGTGATAGATATAGGTCAGATGTCAGAGGTAGGTTCTTTACTCAGAGAGTAGTAAGGGCGTGGAATGCCCTGCCTGCAAAAATAGTAGACTCGCCCACTTTAAGGGCATTTAAATGGTCATTGGATAAACATATGGATGATAATGGAATAGTTTAGGTTAGATGGGCTTCAGATTGGTTTCACAGGTCGGCGCAACATCGAGGGCCGAAGGGCCTGTACTGCGCTGTAATGTTCTATGTTCTATGAATTACACTTTCCAATGCCAATACGTAATTCTCAATTAACAGCTCTGTGCAATCACAATCTTTCACAACTTTAGGACATCCCAAAGTAAATTACAGCCAAAGTAGTACTTTGAAGTGTGAAGTAGCTTTATGGTAGGTGTGGACAAATGGCATTTACCATGAAATGGAATATTTTTAGTTTATTTTTGTTCAGTCATATGGCAAGAACATCATTAGCAAGTCCAACAGTTACTGGCCATCACTAACTGCTCTCAAGGTGGTGCTGGTGAGCTTTATGAACTTCTGCAGTTAAAGTGGTGAAGTATCCTAACTGTGAGATAAAGGGATCCATGATTTTGATAGAGGAGTAAGGAAGCTTCCAAAAGGATGGTGTTGGTCCCATGCAACTGCTGTTCCTATTCTTCTAGTTGATAATGGTACCAGGTTTGCCAGATGATGTCAAAGAAGCCATTAAGTATTATTGTAGAACACCTTACCAATGATGCACACTACAACTACACTGCACTAACGGCGAGGGGAATGAATGCTTAAGGTACGGATGGGACACTGATCAAGTGTTGTTGAAAGTGCACTCATCCAGGGAACACACCTTAATGGTCTTGACTTGTCTGTTGCAGATGGTGGAAATATTTTCTTGAATTGAGTCACTATGCAACTTCCAATTTGCCCTTCAGTCACAGTATTTATGTAATTGCTCAGTTAAACGTCCCACTCCTGATATTACAATAGAGGGAAGGTCAGTAATGAAAAAGCTGAAGATGGTGGAGCCTAGAATATTACCCTGAGGAACTCCTGCAGATATGTGCTGTGACAGAGTTGATTAGTCACCAACAATTACAAACAACTTCTTTTATGCTAGGTATGACTCCAACCAAGGTTGGGCTTTTTCCCCAGATTTTCATTCACTTCCAATTTTGCTCCTTGCTGCCACACTGGAAGAAAAGTTGCCTACCATGGACAGCCACACACCCTGAACTCTGGAATTCAGCAATTTTTGCCAAATTTGGGCCAAGGTTTGGGCCACCATGATTCAGAGTGCCTTGGCTTTCAATGTCTAGGCTGTTGATGAATAAGTGCTGTTTGACAGCACGGGATTGTGCTTTCCAATCCTTTGCTTACAATCGAGATTAGGCTGATGGATGCTAATCAGCAAAATTGGATTTATCCTACTTTTTTGTGGACAGGTCATTTTCCCATTTGTCAGGCAGAGAGAGCTGTAGGTACATTGGAACAACTTAGCTGAAAGCATGACTATCGCTTGAGCACATAAATAATTCAGCATGACACCCAGGATATGGTCACAATCATATCTTTTACATTTCCATTGTACTGAGCTCTTCCTCGATATCACGTGGATTGCACTGAATTGGCTGAATTGCAACAATAACTTTCTTCGCCAGTTTGACATACTTGGGTATGGCTGGGGCTGTTTCCAACATGCTGTTCAATTCAGTGGAGGAAAAAACAGAGTTAATGTTAACTCTGTTTTTTCCCTTCAGAGATGCTGCCAGACCTGCTGAGCTTTTCCAGCAACTTTGTTTTTGTTCCTGATTTACAGCATCTGCGGTTCTTTCGATTTTTATTCTGTTCAATTCAGTGGTCCCTCTACTTTCCATATGCTGCACCGGACCAGCTTATTGTACTGTGCAGGTCCTTTAAGATTTGCAGGCACATTCACATCACGAAAGAACTGTTGCTTGTTTGCAATCTTTTGATTCCCTCTGATGCACATTCAGGATTATGGCATGCCCACACATCTACAGTTTAGAGGGAACATTGCTCCTCATTTAAATGTGTTAATGCTTGTCAAACCATGTTAAATTGAGGGATGTGTATTCCATCAGGTCATATGGTAGAATACAATTATGTCTCTGTTGATAGCCCCAGCTCTTTATAAATGCCTAGTTTTGAATTGCTAGATCTAATTTGAATCATTCCTATTTGTGAAGGTCATAATGCTACACAATAGAGGGTATTCTCTGTGTAAATATGAATTCACCTCCACAAAGACAGTGTACAAGTAAATTGCTGAGTTCGGCTAAAGTAGGATCCCACCTTCCTGCAATGTCGGTTCGAACTGCCACAACCTGATCCGACACATTTGGCTTTCAGAAATTAACCAGCTGGATCAATGCTGGTGCTTTTTCTGATGGACATTGATGTTTTGCCATGCCGAGTACTTACCATTGTTTGACCTGATGCCATAAGACCACATGGGGTCTGGAGACTACATGGAGTTCACCTAGATCCACTGTTCCTGCTAATTGTATACCACTGTGTTGCTACCTTGTCAGCTTCAGCTTTTTGGGTAGGGAATAGTCAATTGGATGTCCTGGTTGTGACATTAAACTTCTGGGAAATGAGCCTCTCATGGGTTGCCGGGAAAACAGAAGCTATCTATCTGCCACTTACTTTGTGAAAATGCCATCCTAAGCAATAGCCTGCTTCTTTTTGTAAGCGCTTGCCTTAGTTGCTCAAACTTATCACCAAAACTAAGAGTACTATAACAACTGTAAGTGTCCCTTTAATGTCATTTTAAAGTCTAATCCCTGCTCATCTCTCTTGTAATAAAGATGAACTTTCTAAGTTTCATTATTTCAAGTTTGAACTTCCTGCAAGATTTTAAGAATTTCATATTTTTAATTAATTTTGCTCTCTCAATCTCTCCCTATCCATTCTTTTTCCTTTCCCTCCTTTCATTTCTCTTTCAGAAGATGTTATATTAAAAGTGAATGCTTCTTTATTTCTTTGCCAATTATTAAATATGATTAATTAAGGGCATCCCATTTGATTGCCCACTTTACTTTGGCCTGAAATGCCCTGTTTCCACCACTGTCATCAATTCACATTTTCCACAAATTGGGCCATGATTCTTGTTTTGAGCTGCTGGTGCATGGATAGTTTTAACTAATAGCAGACCATTAGATTTACTTATTCTTTCATGGGAAGTAGATGTCACTGGCAAGCTCCCCTTTGTTGCCTATCCATAAATGCACCTGAAGTGAGTGACCTACCATGTTATTTCAGATGGTAGTTAAGAGTCAACCTTGCTACGGTAGGTCTGGAGTCAGACCAAGTAGGAAGAATAAATTTGCCCCCCCAAAGGACACAACTGAACCAGATGTGTTTTTTACAACAATTGAAGATATGCTTAGAGACTGGTTTTAAGTTTTATTAATTGTATCAAAGTTTCATTACTTGTATTTAAATTCTACAAACTTCTTTGGTGGAATTTGAATCCATGTCTGAACCCAAGTCCTCATAGCATGAGCATGGGCCTCTGGATTAATAGTCCAATGACATTACCACAACACCACCTTCTCCTTAACCCCTATTATTTCAAGAAACCAGATGAACCCTTAATCCTTAACCTTATAAAAGAATAAAAACAAAGTTGCTGGAAAAACTCAGCAGGTTTGGCAGCATCTGTGAAGGAGAAAACAGAGTTAATGTTTTGGATCTGGTGACCCTTCCTCAGAACTTATAAAAGAATACTTTGTGTTTGAGATCATTCTAACATTTTCCATCACACGGTTGTGTTTGTGAAAGTGCATTTGGGCCTTGACCTACAAATGGGATGAGATCCTCCAGCCTTCACCCAATGTCTGCAAGTACATCCTGGTCAGACAGTAACTAGAATTATAGATCTCATTTGCCTTCTCTCCCTTGCCTCTGTCTCCTCCAGTAAAGGGGCAGAGGTACCAATTTTTCAAATCCTATTGCTGCCCCATTAAGATCAATACATTAGAAAGAACCCAGAATCTTCCAGGGGTTTCATTTACCAGTGAACTATTCAGGGCATGTTCAACTTCCTGGATGTTACTGACGAATGCTTGGTTCATTGCACCTTTGCTGTGTCCCCACACCAGCCAAGGTTACCATGAAGGACTCTCCTTCTCAACCTCTTGTATTGCCTGAGGTATGATAGCCTTCAGGTTAAATCCCCACCAGCCCCCTCTTTCTAATGAGAGAGCAGCCCTATGGTCTGGTAAGACTATGACGGCTTGACTTGACACCTTTACTAGGCTCCTTAATTTAAGTGATCACCTAATGTGTATGTTCATCACCATTTAATTTGAATCAATGTTACTTTCTGAATCGTAAAGAAACCTGTACATCTGTATTTATGACAGCAAGGTGGAACATAGGAACTGTGACAAGAGGGACAAAGCTTGGATGCATTATTTTCATAAACCATGTACACAACTTCCAACACAGAATTATTCATGATACTTCTCTGTAGTATGCCTTCAGAAATGCTTCCCAGACATACCTGTTTCCCACTCAATTGGTAAAAGGAAAGTCGCTGCCCCCAGTCTGCCACAGCTAAGATGTCGGTGTGTTCATCTCTGTGCAAATCAAAAATCAGAAGAAACTCATTGATTAATATCCATTTACTCAGGATCGAGTTATTCTGTGACCACTTGCCTCATTTATTGACACACAAAAACCATTATTGTTTAGCTCCTCCTGAAAGACAACAACCTGAACTCAGGTGAAATAGGAAAGAAGTGTGAATGTTTTTGGATGTTTAAATCTGACATACTCTTGAATATTGTGAGGTGAATACAGAATTAGACTGTTACTGATGGGAGACATTAATTTGACTTGTATGGAGGAGATATTCACTGTAACCGTTTTGCAGTATTTCTTAAGAGAGATGGGAAACATTAGATACAAGGTTGCACCTTTCCCAATGTAGCCACTGTCAGGGTGTACAATGGACAAATTGAAGCACTGTGAATATTAAAAAAAGGGGTTCACATGTGAATTTCCTTTCTTTTATAAACTGTCATAAGAGATAGCATATCAGTAGAGAATGACAACTATCTTTCCAACTTTAGATAATATCAAATGCCCTCAATTCAGCTACATCGCATACTAATGGACAGCAGTTCTCCCTGCTTTGCATAAACTTTTACAATCTCAAAACAGCACCACCATTGCACAAATTTTCTCATTTTTAATGTGATTCACTATCATGGAGTTTAAACTTCCTGCTTCGTGCTGATTAGTTTTGAATTCTGGATTTTATTTTCTTCTGACAAATTGTCCGCCTCCCACTCTCTCCCTATTTATTCCAGAACCCCCTTCCCCTCCCACTTTTCTGATGAAGGGTCTAGGCCCAAAACGTCAGCCTTTCTGCTCCTGTGATGCTGCTTGGCCTGCTGTGTTCATCCAGCCCTGCACCTTGTTGTCATTGAATCATACATTTGGTTGAGACTGTCCAAATACAATGTCATATTCCCTAATAGCCAGGAGGTAAAGACTTTCATCTCATTCATCTGGAATAGACTTAAAACTGAGATCCTTGTGATCCAAAGGCATTTCTGGTAATTTGCATAATCCACAAAAGGTTTTATTTTTGCTATCTATAATTCACATCAGACTTGGTATCACTGTACTTAATAAACAGTGATTTCATCAATCTATTTTATTGATCTTTGAACGTGAACCATCTCAAAATCTTCAAAAGGGTTTGCTCCAATTCACTGAAGTGCATTTCCTTACTTACTTGGATGGATTCCAGCAAATTGACCAGATTGGGACAGCACCAGGTCGCTCAATTCTCACTTTCTCTTCTCCACTCTTACTTCGAATACTGACAATACCACTAAACAGGCTAATGGCCAGGTACTGACCATCGTTTGTCCAACTAGTAAAGAAGCAGAAACAAGAACAGGTTTAGAAAGCAGTTCCAAGGGGGCAAAGTTAGTAATGGCATTTTAAGACTGCTGTTACTGAATTTTGAAGAAGTTTCTTTCTTTTCTTGAAGGCATTGATCCCCTTCTGGGTTATGCTACCTTGTAAAATTGCGGTAAGACTTCCGCAATCTTGCACTCCAATGCTATGGAAATAAGGGCATTAGCTTTCCTGATTACTTGCTGCAACTGTGTGCTAGCTTTCTGTGTTTCATGCTCAAGTCCCCCAAGTCCCTTTGTTTTGCAGCTTTCTGCAATTTTCTCTCCATTTAAATAACTCTGTCTTTTTGTTATCCCTTCCAAAATGAACAACCTGCAAAATCTGCTCCAAGTGACACACGATCTTGACTTACAATTATTGTCCCGTCCTTCACTGTCTGGGGGCCAAAATCCTGGAACTTTCTCTCTAACAGCACTGTGGGTGTACCAACACAACAAGGACTGCAGCAGCTCAAGAAGGCACCACCTTCGCCAGGTCATTTATGGATGGCCAATAAATGCTGGCCTCTTGTGAAATGGTCACATCCCATGAATGAATAAAAAAAAGTATGACTGAAAAGATTTTTGTAACACTTGCAGTAATTCCCAATTTCTAGCCAAAGGTTTCCTGACTAACATTGGTATCCCATTATTCAAATACTGTGGCGAAAAGGTTCGAGCAAATGTTATCTTTAAATGTGATACATTTTCTCAATGGTGGAATGGGAAGGTGAAAACTCCTGAAAATAGAATGGATGACAACATCCAAACTCTGTCATTTTCATGTGTAGGTCCTAGTGAGATCCATCCTAAAACTGAAGCTAATTTTTGCTGAATAATTCTCCAATGGCGCTGGAATAAATTTGCCTCGTTAAAAGTTCCAGAACCCTATATACTGTAATTTGTAGCATGCCAATCCAATGGGACTATGACACCTATATTTCTGATTTCAGCCAACGTAAGAAGGCTAGGAAATTTATTTAAAATCTGGATGTATGTTTAATGACCACGTGTGCTAGTCATCACGTTCCTAACTGTCCTATCTACTAATGTATTTAAATATTTCTGAATCACCCTGACATAAACATTTCCTTTAGAAATGGTGACTGTGGCAAAGATACTGCACAGTATGATACATTTGTGATTCTCTTTACAATGCACAGACTAATCCTTCAGTCCATAGTGAGGAAAATTGTCCACAATAATCAAATTGCATGGTGGATCTGTGGTGTTTAAATGGAATTGTGCCAAAGGTGGTTCAGACACCCACTTTGCAATTTACAATCCTGAAGCTCAAACAGCTTGCAATCATCAGCAAAGGTAACAATGATAGTATCAGCAAAGACTAGATTACCTGCAGCAGGTGATTTTGCTGTTGACTTTGTGCTTGGAGACAGATTTCTGCTCTGGCGACCACAAACCTGCATTTAATTAATTTTAAATAGAGACAAAAGGAAATTAAATTCAAAATTCAAAATTCTTACAAATTCAAATCAAAATTAATTCAGCCATATTTTTATCTCAAATGTTTGTCACTAATCTTCCTGAGGTACTTATTTTAAAAAGGAGGACCTGGCAAACAGCAAGGAAGACAATGAGAGATTTCAGAAAGGGACGAACATGATAGTGGAAAAAAGTTAGATGTAATTTAGTATCAAGAAGCATAAAGGAACAAATTTTGGAAGGGAAATCTGGGAATGGGAGTGTACAGTAAATAGGACGACACTGAGAATGTCAACTAACTTAAAATGAATCTGAAAGGTAGATAAAGGGTGTAAAGGCATCAAATTCCTACAATATATGCAGGAGTCCTTTCTCACGCATGTAAGAACTCAATTGACAGTTTGTTAATAATTCAGAAATGAAGAATGCACCAAAGCAGACAGAGGAATAAAATTATGGGAGTATCGCGGCCAGAGTGACCATAACATAACCTAACTGAAATAATTCCAGAGAGGCCGGTATAGCATCACCAAGTCACCCTTTATTTAATGTGGAAAGTCCTTGACACCGAACCAGCTCCCTCAGACTGGAGATATGCCTATTTTGATGACCTGAAACTAGACCTTGGAGAAACAAAATTGAAACTGGGAAACAACACTATTCAGAATCATTTAAAACAGTTTATAAAGCAGAACAGCTATATTTACAAAGGGTCATTATACTCAAAATGTTAACTCTATTACTCTCTCCACAGATTATGCTAGACCTGCTGAGTTTCTCCAGCAGTCTATTTTTGTTTCAGATTTCCAGTAGCTGCACTTCTTTATTTTATAAAGAAGTGTCAATTTGGTTTAAATTGATTTTATAAAGATGGGGAGCTAGCCATCAATGGGTTGGGAGTTTTATGGGGCTAACTGAAATAAAGCCCAAAATAAAAGTATGGACTTGAAATTTGTTTAAATACAGTTATCTTTTAGCAAAAAAAATCCAGCACCTGTCAACCACCTACAAGGCACAAGTCAGGAGTATGATGAAATACTACCCACACACCCACTCCAACAACACTCAAAAAGCTTGACACCATCCAAAACACTTGACTGGCACCAAATCCATAAATATTCACACCCTCCGCCTATACTCAGTAGTGACAGTGTGTATCATCTACAAGATACACTGCAGGAATTCACCAAAGCTCTTTAGACAGCATCTTCCAAATCCATCATCTGCAAGTTCCCCTCCAAGCCACTCACCATCCTGATTTGGAAACAAGTCACCAGTTACTAGGTCAAAATCCTAAAACTCCCTCCCAAACAGACTGGGGGTGTACCTATACCATGTGCCTGCAGCAGTTCAACAGGTCACTTTCATCTCAAGAGCAAATAGGGATGGGCAATAAATGCTGGCCCAGTCAGAGAAACCCATATTCCCTGAATGAATAAAGAAAATACCTGCCCTGATTATTTATATGTTAATTCTGTCCACTCACTACTGATTAGTCAAATTGCTATTTCTAACAAAAAAACTTGTATAAAGTTAAAGTAAATCGTGAACAAATAATAAAAACACAAATGTAACAATTTTCTAAGTTTTTAAAATCATTAAAAGATCAACTTACCAAAGTCACTGGAAGAACAGGAAGCCAGTTGATGTGTGACTGGGTTGTATGCAATGCACTGAATGGAATCATTATGTCTGTAAACAATAAACTCAGTTTTTGCCAAGTTAAACGATAAACCTCAGGGTCTTCCCCAATTCTGATGAACATGAAATAAGAACTGTCCACAGGTGCCTGAGTTTCTGTGAATTTCCAGTTTCTATTACAGTAAGCTGGGAGTTTTGCTGTCTATAGTTCCATTATAGATGTAATGCACAAAATCGTATAGTTTCAACATACAACTTATTACTACCTCTGCTCTGGGAGGTGGATGAAAATACTGTTCTTGTGTGTTGTCTATAAACAATGCATCTCAATAGCTAATGGCCATTTATCTATGTAATATGGTTCACCGATAATGTACAGCCCAAGGAAGAACTGTCTAGTTTTTGATACAGTTGGGAGGTCCAGATACAGATCCTGTAATTTCTGAAAGGATCTGTTAACATTGAGAGAGTGGGTAATTTTTCTTTAGAATGTTCTGGATTATCTCAGGTACTGTGGAAGATTTGTCACCGCTGCCAAAACGGGAGTAGAGTTTCAAAGTTGGTTATTAGATGAGAATTGGTCTGAAGCCTCCTCAATGTGATTAAGTTCTTAATAAAATTATTTATTTACTCAGCATTTTAGTTGTTGAACAACAACCAGCTAAAGGAAATCTTCAAGATGTTGAATTAACACAATGTGATGCAGGTGTGCACTGTAGTTCGTCCAAGCTAATATTTATACCTCAAATCAACTAAGCAAACAAAAAAATCTGGTCACTATCGTTTTACAGATTGAGGAATCTTCTGCATGCAAATGGACTTTGGTGGTTCCTAAATTACCACACTGACTAACTTCAAAAGTACTCCACAGGGTGTAAAATGCTTTGAGACATCCAGTGTTCATCAAGAGCATTAAATAATCATTTTTCAAGCACGTACCATGCCCAGAAGCAGAAGGGAGAGGTGACATTGTGATAATGTCACCGGGCTAGTATTCCAGAGACTTGGGTTATAATGTTCTAGTGACCAGAGCCACTGGTGGAATTTAAATTCAACTCGGAAAATCTGGAATGTAAAAAGTTAGGCTCAGTAATGGTGACCATGAAACTATTGTTGATTATTCTGAAAACCCATATGGATTGCTATAGTCCTTTAGGGTAGGAAACATGCTGTCCTTACTTGGACTTATGTGCTAGTTTGACACAATTCAGTGTTTTGCTAGGATGTTTCAGAGAATGCTTAAAACCAATACATCTGAATTCATGAATAGACCAGACCAGGTAAGTATGGCAGATTTCCCTTCCCAAAAGACATTACTGAACTAGTAATGGATTTTCCATAACTTCCCTACAGTTTCATGATCATCATGATTGAAACTGGATTTTATTGCATTTTATTTAATTAACTGAATTCAAATCCTCCAGCTGCTGTGGGATTTTAAACTTAGATCATTAATCCAGAACTCTGGACTATTAGTCCAGTAAGATAACCATCATGCTAATTTACCCACTGATTCTTTACTCTTTGCTTCCCTCCCACTTTGGTTCTATAACACTGGGGTCACTGCACGTTGGACAGTTTCAGTCGGAGCCCGTCAATTGTTTTGGTCTTTCACTTTCTACCCCAACTTCCCCCTGAACCTGTCAGCAACACTGAGGGAAAGATAGTGACAACTTTTTTTTTTAAAATGTTTATTTTTATAGAAAGATCCAATAGTTGCATTAATGACACCAGCTTTTAAATTATAATCTGCTTTTCACTTGGATATAAAAAAGTCTTCACAAGGGTTTCACCAGGATCAGTTTAGGAGAAAAATAAATAAGAAAAACTCACGTGTATTTCAAGATGCCTTCCAACTTCGAAGTCCAGATTATAATACTCTTGTCAGTGGAACCCGATGCAAATCGTTTACCTGAGATGAAAGGTTGCAGATTCAAAGTAGGGTAATTCCTGCCTAACATGGTGTCACCATGATGAGTGGAGGTAGCCCAATATATCAGCACATATGCTCATAAGTGGGTTCTTCATACAAGCCATATGATATCACAAATTAGCATGAGCAAATCTGCCTAAAGGTAGAATGCGAAGATTTACAAAACCTTGCACTCAGGTCTGGGAATAGTGTCATACTTCTCCTTGTGGTAATTTGCACAGAATGCAGGTGCTTTGTAAGTGAGTTAACTATCTAAACTCAGGCATAGCAATGAAACATTATGGGAAGGAAACTCAACAAAAATCAAAATCAAATCAAAATAATTGTCAGACTTGAATCAGGCTGAAACTGTGGCTGTGCTGGGAATGTCAGAATGTAAATGACAATAAGGAGTGGCAGCTTCTGAAACACTTGTTTAGCCACACAATGATGCATTACAATTGGCCTCAAGGAAAGGAAAATCTGTCGAGGGCCCTGAGAATGATCATTACCCATTTAACGGAAAGTGCATGGCTGCAGTTCAAACAAGACCAGGAGCAGATTTAGCTTCAGAGTCCCAAATGGCTGAATTGTCTGCTAACATACTGGTCAGACTCACTCTTGGTACAATTGGAACATCGGAGACTGAGGGATGACCTTATAGAGGTTTACAAAATCATGAGGGGAATGGATATGTTAAACAAGGTCTTTTCCCTGGGTGGGGGGGGGGGGGGGGGGGGGGGGGGGGGGGGGGGGGGGAGAA